TAATGCAACGCATGCAAAATGCAACTAAAATAGGCTCGACTACTTAACATGTTATTTGCACCAATTTCATAGCATGCGTTTAAACACGTATTCAACGAGGTAATAAACGACAATACAAGTTTGAATGACGAACCGAGCCTCAATGTATGCAAGACAAATGAATGAATGCAAACATGCGATATACTAATTGAAACGTGATGCCCCTAATCTAGTTATCAAAAGCGGATAAATAAAAAAGAGAAAGACGTGGGGTTGGAAGACATACATATTATTAAAACATTGATGCTCTCACGTAGGAGGGTCTTAAAGAATAAACAGGTTAAGCTAAACTACTTAACTAATTATTACAAAACTTGAATAAATAAGGTAGCTATCTAAGCTAATTAATTAAGTACAATACGAAGCTAATTAGCTAACTATATTAACTAATTAATTATAAAGCAACGAATTAAACTAGTTAACTAATTAATTACAACATGAATTAATTAACTAAATAGCTAATCCGATTAAATAATTACAACACTTTAATTAGATACAACACAACTAACTAATCAATAACTAAACTAGTTAACTAGTCCCGGGAACGAGGGAGGCCCAATGTATGCTCGATTTCCACCTGAAGAACGTCCATTGTTTGCTCCCGAAAGTCTCTGTTTGCAATGTTTATTTCCAAATTAGGCAATCTAGTCTATACTTGTTTGCTGCGCGCATTACATAGTAATTCCAGGCTAATAATTGGAATAAGAACACATATTGTTTTCAAAATCGGATATCATGGTTAGTAGAGGCCGGTCTTCGGACCGGGCGAAAGGGGGTGCTCATAGCTGACCTTCCCCGATCGTACCCAAGCTCCCGAGCCGAGACAACTCCGGTGATGACGGACATGTGGCCTTCGGCACCGAGTCAGGGTTTCCTAAATTTCCCCATTTTAAAAATATTTAGGTGGCGACTCTGTATCTGGCAAAGCAGTCCATGTTTGGCACTACTTTTTCAAAAAAATCTGTTTTCTCAAACGATTTGCCAGATTTGGACTCTTTGGTTCAGATGAAGAACCGCGACAAACAAAATCGCGAGTCCGAACTGTAGTAGCGAGGTCCCCCTCCGCGGGACGCGTCTACACAAATCCTCGTGGTGCAGAGTCCTTACCTCTAGCAATTGTAGTCTCTCAGTCCACTTTTTATTTGCGAAGGCTATGGGGTGAAACCAGTGAGGTATGTTGTTCAACACAAGTAACTGTGTTATGGTGCTGGACTTTGCAATTATTTACCTATTTTAGATGGTGGAATTGGTTTTAATCATCGTAAAGTTTTTAATTTCTTGTTAACTCTCCAACTCAACAATGACCATATATGATTTCGGAAGTCCTAATAGAGTAGACATTGTTGTTTAGCGAGTAAATATCAAAAAATAAAAAATAAATAAAAATTCATCACATGTCTAAGACCATGGCATATTCTACTTAATAATTCTTTAACTAAAGTTTTCTTATCTTTGAAATGTTCTTTTCAAAGGCTTAATGGATATTACTCTTATCATCATTTTTTGAAATTGTGTGAAACCTGTTTGCAAAATTGTACTTTTCAAGATTTGGTTATTTTTTAATGTGTGATGCTTAGATTTGTTAAGATTGGTACGGTTGGGTTGGCTGCTTGTAGATTTAATTGGCTTATCATTGTTGGTGACAAGAGAGTGAGAAACCCTCACATCGTAAAATACTAAAAATTGAAATAAGTGCAAAAAGAAACCGTCTCATACTATGACATTTCCATTGATTTGGCATGTGTGTAACTACTCTCATAACTCCAATCATCTTATGGAAAACGTTCTGTAACTTTCATGATTTGACAATGAAGCCGAAATACTTGGTAACATTCACAGTTGGTTTGGATCAGAGGAACAACATTGATGCAACAGTTAAAAAGGTTACACAAATGGACCATTCCATTATATGTATTATTTTTATGATGTTGCAAGTAGAGGTTTGTAATATTATTTTATTTTTTGATAGTTTTCTGAGGATTTTCAAATTATGCTTTTTCATTATGATGGTTGGACAAGTGAATGGCATCAATTTGAGTGGTCAAAGAGGTGTTAGTGTAAGAAAGCAAACAAAATGGTAAGATGCTTTAGTATTTACATATTTTTGGTGTTATACCACATTTTCCACTATACCATGTTTGAAAAGAGAACTCATAAAACAGAGATATGATACCCTTTCTTTATTGGGAAATGAAATAAAGAACTGATTTTTTGTTCATTAATATTGCATCCTTTCGTAGATTCAAACGACCATTATAAGATTTGCTACCAGTTGTGTTTCTGCTGAGTGGAAAAAATTCATCAAAAACAAGAGGATGGGAGCTATTGAGGAGTTGGTGGAAAAAATTCATCAGATTGAGGAGTTGCCACTGCAAGAATTTCATGGCCACACTAGTGATGTCTTGGATCTGGCCTGGTCCAAATCTAATGTAAGTTATTGCTCGCTTGCAAAATACCTTTAAAATTTTCCCATTTGTTTAAAAAAACATAATAATGTTTTTGAGGTCAATTAGTTTCAGTGTCTTCTTTCATCATCGAAGGATAAAATTGTTCGTCTATGGCAAGTGGGCTGCAATGAATGTATTAGTGTTTTCCAACACAATGACTATGGTTAGTATTGTTAGCTATTTGTAATTCCTATATAAACTATTGATTCAGATCATAATATGTATATGTATCTTGTTGAATCTATTGTCTTTTGAGTGTTATTAAAAATTAATATATTGTTTATCTTATCTTTATGGTATCAGTGACATGCATTTAGTTCAATCCAGCCAATGAAAATTACTTCATGAGTGGCTCTATAGACGGAAAAGTTCGAATTTGGGGAGTGACCGAGAGACAAATTGTTGATTGGGCTAATGTGAGAGATGTAGTAACTGTTATATGTTATCATCCATCGTGCTTGCTATAGGTATGATTTGTAGGTAACACAATAAAAATACTTTCTTTTTTTTTGGTGTCATGTGTCATGTGTTAATGATGAAATAAAAAAAGCATACCTACAAATTCATTTGATGAATGAATGTGTTAATAGTTAGGATTTGTATAGTCAAGTTAGACAACCATGGCTTTAAATTTTTATTTTGTTAATGGTTAGGATTTGAATCTTTTTCAGTTAATTGATTTTGAAATTCATGACTTAATCGGTTGGAATTTTTAGTATCATACTGTTCAATCTTTAATTAATCTCATTAGCAAAGGTCTTTTTATTTTCTTAGAGTTCTCTGGTTAGTTGTTGTCAATGTCATCATTCTAGGTTAGTTTAATTGAGTCATTTAGAACCTTTCGATTTTTTAGCAATTTGTTTAGCTTTATATATTCCAAACCTTCTTTCTTTTAAGAAATTTGTTTCATATTGGGTCTTTTTTATTCCAATTTTCATCCAGATACTTTTATTAAATGATTTGGTAATTGTAGGAGAGCTTAGGCAGCATTAGTTTTACAAAGACTTTTAATGGCTCCGGCATTAAGATAAGCTTAGGCATCATTAGTTTTACAAATCAAGATAAGTTTCTTCAATTTGATTTTATTTTAGTCTCATGTTTATTTTTATTTTTTTGCCCTTTTTTGATTTAACTGCTATATGTTGTGATGGGTTTGGTGTGATTTTGATTTAACTTTTTTTAGGTTGCTGTGGCGGATTGGCCGTTCTTCTCTCTCTGCTTATTCTATCACATGTAAGCAATTCACATCGTAGGGTTTTTCATCCCCAAACCTAATTTATGACCTTTTATTTATGTATTTAGATCAAGGTGACAATGGCAGTGGATCCTTCTAATGTTGAATCTTTTTGGGTTATTCACTAATTTGAAAATTGCTTATTTATTTGTTTGTTTGCTAAACAATAGAATCATATACTTCAATTCAATATTAGTTGGCAAACATAATAATTGTTCTTTTGTTTAATTTTTTCTCAAATGTAGTTCGTTTAAGACTAATTGTTTATGTTGGTTATTAATTTTGACTTTTTTGGGTTTTTATTAGTTGGTGCACTCTTTTTGAATTACATTAGTTGGTGTACTTTGCTTTGCTTTTGTTGAATTTTTATTTTTATGCCATTGGTATATGGTATGTGACTGTGTGGTGGGGGAGGGGAAAAACAGAGAGTTGTGTGTGGCAGTGTGATGGGGGAGGGGAATACAGTGAGGGTGTTGGTTGTGCGACAGGGTGTTGGTTGTTCGTTTGTGTTTGACATTCACTAGCATAAGGCACCTAGAATCCTCATCTTCATGTAATTCGGTATTTTCAAAATGCAGCTTCTCTGTTTACTACTATGTGCATACCAATTGGAGCAATTATTATGTTTTTCCTTTTTTAGGCCTCGAGTACTATTTTATTTGATCAATTGTTCATATTTACTCTCTTTATATGTTGTCTACTCTATCTTTAAGCACCATTATGTTTCTGCTTTATATGGACTTTGAAGGAAGCAATGGAGCAACCTAAGGTTGTGGGTATTCATTCGTCTTCATATTGCTGGCCCTGTTTGGATATTCAGTGTTTTTCACTGATGAGTTGTATATGCTTTGTTTCATTGCCTTTTCTTTGTTTGGTTGCTGAGAAAACTGGGAAAAAAATATTAAAGAATATAAATTTGGATTGTTTTCTTTTTTCATGCACTTGATTTTGCTGTAATTTCAGTTCTAGCATTCATTTGAGATTCAAGTTTATGACTGATATCACTCCATCTCATTAACTGTGGTTTGTTTGAGGGAATTCTGCTTAGTATTGAAATGACAAAGATGGGTTCAATCTCATGAACAGGACAGTTGATTGGAAGTGTTTATGGCTAGACTTCAGAATGAAGTTGCCTACATATCCCAAACATGGAAATCAAGCCTTACGTAGTTCGGCTCGGGTTCACTCGTGTATTAACTCTCTCATTTTGCGCTCTTACTTTTGCCAAGGCCGCCCTTTCTGGGTTTTCAACCTTGCGAGCTCAGTTTTTATAATTTTAAATTTTCTATGCTCTAATTTTTGCCTAGGTCGCCCTTCCGGGTTTTCGGCCTAGCGAGCCTCTCAGGGATAATATTTTTTTAACTTGTCCATGTTGATCGGTTGGGAGAACTCTAGGCCATCTAGATTCATCAGAACGACAGCTCCACCCGGTCAGATAGACTTGATGATGTAAGGACCAGTCCAATTTGGTCTAAACTTGCCTCCAGAGTCGTGGATGGGAGCTCGGTCGTCTTTTAGCAATACTTTCTTCTTTCCTCCCTTCTGGGATTTGGCATTCTTGCAAGTCTTCATTGATTTGCAGAATGATCCATCTTTGGCTCTTCGAGCACGACTGATATTTTTGCCCCTAGTTCGAGGGGTGCTTCTGATCTAGCTTCGCAAGCTTCCTTTGATAACATCTGATCTTCTTAATCTGACTTTTCTTGCCCCTAGTTCGTGGGCTATTTAAAATCTGGCCTGACAGGCCTCCTTTGTGATTGACCGTTGAACATTCTGAATCCAAGTTCAATTTGAAAGCAGAAGGGGTCGAGTCTCAAGGCTGAGGGTGATCTTAGGTTGCGCAATCTCAAGAGCGATTCCACACAGGTCTTCGCAGGACGACGCAAAACATTTTTTGAAATCTTTTAAGAAAGCGACTAGTCGCTCGTGCTGAAGACAATGTAGAACCAATCCGGATCAAGCCAGGATCCTTCTTAGTACTCACATTAACAGGCATGATCTCATTCATTAAGAGCTTATCAAGCCTTTCTTTCTCTCAATTGATCAAATTTTGCAAAACTCGAGGAATTCCTCCCTCTTTGTTTTCATCACAATGTTAGAAATTTTTTTTGAGAAAACTTATGTCAAATGCAATGATTTAAAGACACAGAAAAGTAAGGTGAAAAGTACTGCCATTTCATTCAAACTTTTTGGCACAACTGGCTCACAGTAAAAACAAGCACAAAAGCATGAAAACCACTGCTGTTTCATTCAGATCTTCTGGTGTAACTGGCTCCACTGCAGAAACAGACTCAAAAGAAAGTGAAATGACAAACACAAAACAAAATAGTGATATCCGAGGTAACACTCCTAGAATTACCCGACACCTATACAACAGGACTGACTCGATTCAACAAGACAAACCCCAAACAAAAAGACTGACTCAAAACAACGAGACAGACTCAAAACAACACAACAGAACTGACTCAATACCCAAGCCAGAACATGAAATAAACAGCATTCGTAAATGCTCAAAACAGTGCGTGTCATACGCCACATCTGGAGTAAACTGAGTGTCGCCCGCAGGTGGATCAACCCCTGATCACATCACATTATCCTCCAGATTCACTGACCCAGTGACGATAGACTTTGCTGAGCTTGGTGGGAGGACGACCCCGTTGTCAAACAAATCCTGCACTTCGTGGCGAAGACAGAAGCAATTGTCGGTGCTATGACTGGTTTGTTGATAGTACGCACGATACTGGGTAGCATCATGACCAAGTTGAAGATGACCAGGGAGAGGCCGAGGCTCAAGAGTTTTGAGATGGCCTTTTTCAGCAAGGATTTGAAGAGCCTTGGACAAAGACATATAGACGGCACGGAAGACCCTGCGACCTCAGGGTTGATACTTCGAGGTTTGTGGATTTTTCCTGGGCGCACTAGAAAAAGGGTTGGCAGGTACTGGCTTGGTCTGTTGATCTTTCTCGGGTGTAGACTTAGAGTTGGAAGGAACGGTTCTAGTACGATGGCCCTTCTCCAGATTTTCCCCTTGGCTCGAACTGCCCTCGTTCTGAGTGATGAAAGTGTCATCCACAATTTTTACAACAACTACGAGCACTTGCTATTTGTTCAGTCTCCCGGCTTTCAAAGCCTCAACAGCCTGCAGAAGTTGTTCATAGGGGTCGATGATTGCCTCTACCTTGTTCTTTCTACTCGCCTCAGCTTGGTCAAAGGTTTGGGTTGCTACGTCAGTGAGCAGCCCGGTTGTTGCCGACACGTCATTGTCTGAACTTGGGATGACTTCAGATTGGCTGAGTTCAATTACAATTCGCCCCAATAGTGAATTGTTCCATATCCGTTTGTTTGGAAATGGTTTGAAGTTTTCCTACCCGCAAGTAGGCTAAATTTAGGATTCAATGAATTGTTCCAATTCAAGTAATCCAACCTTCACCCACAGGCATTTAGGCAGTTAATCAACTAAGTAGTTAGTCTCATGGCAAGTATGCTATCATGGCAACATTAACACACATGCAGTATGCTAAAGCGTAAACACTCACAGTGTACTCCGAGCCAAAACAAAGAACTAGTTAGAAATCATGCATGATCCTAGTTCATGTTAAGATGGCTAATGCAACACATGAGAGAATGCAATTAAGAAAGGCTTAGCCACCTAGAATGTCATGTGAAACGCAACAATTCGATACATGTATTCAAATAGGAATTGAAATACAATGCAGTTAGTATGATGCGCCGAGCCCGGTGCATGTAATACAGATGAATGGATGCACGCATGCAAGCATAAGGTATGCTAAATGAAATATGCCCTAAAACTAACCACCATAAGCGGTTAAGTAAAAGGAAGAAAGAAATGGGGGTTGGAAGACATGCATCATACACATGCACGCTTATTACAACAATACGCCCTCTCGACGGAGGGACCGAATAAAAAGCTAACTAGCTAATCTAAGCTAATTAAACTAATTATTACACAACACAACTAATTAACTAATCCTAGTTAACTAATTATTACAAAACAAATTGTAATAGCTAAACGCATTAACTATTAAAGTACAAACCAAAGAAAATGCTAGCTATCTAAGCATGGCAGCTAAGGAAAGCAATAAAAGCAGGAGGTCCTCAGAGGGAGAAGACTGAATGCATGGTCGCCTCGTTCGGAAATCCAATGCGATGCCTCGATTTGCCTCTGTTTTCATTTGTCCTCAGAAACTTGCACCAAGCTCCAGAAAGCTGAAACTTCACCTTGGGAATCTTGTGGGAGGGTGGCCAACCACTTTTGGTCTTTGCAGCCACCTGCCGACCACTTTCTTTGTTGAAAGCTAGAAAAAGTGGTGGGCCAGCTAGTTTTTCTGGCTGGCCGACTCGTTGTTGCTGCTGAATTCCAGTTTGTTGCAACAGAGAGCAAGAAAGGGCATGGCAATGTATTTGCAAGATATGTGTGCACAACCACCCTCCCTATCATGTCATGAACTCAAGGGAGTGCGGTTCTCGACCGTTGGGCCACCAATCGCGCATTTCAATGCATGATGGCCGAGAGGCGAAGTTGCACAATTCAATGTAAAATGAATGCACAAGTAAACACGTAAAGCCTAAAACTCTATCATGTATGATCAAGAGCGTCCCGGAACGTCGGCGACCAAGAATCAAGGCACGTTTCATCACTTTAAGTATGAAACGTCCCTCTTTTCTCGTGTTTGGACTAACACCTATTCCAAACACAATGCAACACGAGCATGGCATGAACAATGCGACTCAACCATGCAACTCAATGCAATGCAACTTAAGCATGCAAACATGCAAGGGACAAATGTGCAAACATGCAATTAGCATACTAGCATCCACAATGTTATGAACTACATGGCATGCACAATGCTCATGACAACTAGCATACGCAATGCAAATGGTAACTGGCATACACAATGCAATGAACATGGCATACACGATGCTAAATTAATCATGCGAACAACATGGCATACTCAATGCTATGAACTACATAGCATACACAATGCACAATGGACTTAAACCAAAATGGGTGGGCCTCAACTATGCCCAAATTAGTGGCCATTGGTGATGAAATTAAGGCACAAAAGGCAAGGTATGCATGCACAATGCATTGGCTATTCAACTAGGCCCAAGAGCACAACCCTCAAGAAGGCTCGAAGAGTGACAAATGTGCAAGTGTGACAACACTAAGTGCACTGAAATTAGACAAGAAATGATGCCAAATCACTTAAATAATGCAAGTAAAGCATGCTAGGGTCCTAAAGCATAAAAGCTAATAAAGAGGACTACAAAGGAGGCATGCAATACATGGTAAATAAGAATGAACTAAGCATGGACAGAGCTCAAGTAGGTCAAAACAAAGACCTAAACATGTTGAGATGAGGACTCCAAGACCTAGGTATGCAAGCATACAAGCTAAGCCATGAAGTAGGCAAGAATGCACAACACTCAAAGACACTTAAAGAGTGAATGAAGTGGGAACATAAGCATGCTATAACCTTTGAAATGAAATATTAAATGATGCCAAATCATCTAAATAGCTCAAAGATAGCGTGCATGAGCCAACAAAACACAAAACTAGTAAGGCCAATTGCACTACAGCTATACAAAGCATGAAGCATGTGACCAAGGCAACCCAAAGCAATCCTAGATCATGTTAAAATGAGTCTAAAACATGCATGGAAGGAAGCTAAAATAAGCTAGCATGGAGGGCATAAGGCATGATGCATACAAGGCGAATAAGGTGGATTACACTACACCTATTAAGACCAAGCATGGGATGACTTAACCAACAAAATTTGGAGTTATATCATGGCATAA